TTATCATTATTATTATTATTTTCATTTTCAAGATTATTTATATTATTTTGAATTTCTGGAAATTTTTTTTTGAACTTCTTCAAGTCGTTCGCTTTGCTTAGGACGTATAAAAAAATTAATTAACATTTAATTCTTTTGACCAATACTTTTGCTGAAATTAATCCCTTCACGATTACAAGTTGTAATGTATGCGATGTACAATTTAGCCAATTAACTTTGTTCATATTAAATATAGCACTTTTTACATTATGACTATTATCTGTAGTAATAATAAATGTCCTATCCTGAATTTTCTATTCATTCATAATATTTCCTAATATTTCACTTATACGATCAGCTGTATGGAGATATCGAATATATTTAATTGTAAGGACAAATTCACATAGTTTAAAATTATTATTAATAAAAGAACAAGTAATACCAAGATAACCTTGACGGCTACGAGCCGTCTATAGATCTATACATAATAATACTGAAATTGCTTCATTAATTAACTTTTCTTTGAGAATTGGCAAACTATAATCATAGGCAATATAAATTAATTTTTTAACAGTCTCTTCGCATGGTATTATAAAGGCAGGGTCTAAATCATTAATAAATTTACAAAATGCTTTGTTGGTTACAACGTGAATGGGCTGTGAATCTTTTATAATCCATATTGTAAATGACTGTCTTAATTGAGTTTGCCAGGCCTCAGAATGTTTTTTAATATTTAATACACCTTGCTTATTATTCTATTAATATTAATTAAAAAAAAAAAATAGTAAGTATTAGCTAATTAGTAATATTAAATATTAACTAATACAGTAATATATTTAATTACAAACTTTATTTTTTCCATGTTTGGTTATTTCATGTACATTTTGAAAATGAACAATTGCATTTTCTGTTGACCTGCAAGTATGGATATATGTTGTATTACAATCAGTATCATCGCTATTTTTCTCTTGGCAAACAATTACTAGAATTTCTTCTCCATCTTCGTCTTGAATTTTAGCTTCCTTAAAGTGATCCCAGATCTAACTGATCTTGGTACGTTTTTTATCTCCGTTTAAAGCTTTTTTTCTTTTATTTGATGATTTAATTGAATTAGAATTATTTGAATGTTTTTTCAACATTTTGAAAAAAATAAAACTGAAGACTTAAAAAAAAAAACACCCAAAACCAACGAATGATACACATATATATTTATTTTAACAATTATAATATAAACTTTATTATGATATTTTATAATTTTTATTCAGACTAAAAGAATCGCAAACTACTTCATATATGCCATTAGATAATTAATAGTATCTTACTGCTTTTATAGTCTTAAAAATATTAAATAACATATTAAATACTATGTATTTCTCAGAACGGCAAGAATAATAAATATCTTCGTAATTATGCTTTACAGCCTACATGCACACTATTTGTATAATATTTATATTATTACATTTTTGTATAATTGTACTTTAGAAAAGACAACATAAAAGCTTTGTATAATAATAAAATAATAAATCACTCCTGTCCTATGTTTATAGTAAGGCAGTAACTAATGTTTATTATTATTTTTTTATTTATTAATCATAAAGCAGGTATGTATATACAGTATATAAATATCTAAGTCTAAATATGCAAAGATTAAACGTTAAAATTAACAAGGAAGTAATTTAAGTCAGGATGTTAATATGGGCAGCCTCTACTATTATAGAATTTCGAGACTTTTGGATCAAACTTTGATTATTTATTGGATGATATTCTTGACTAGGTACTTTATTCATAGTATAAGTTTGTTAATACTGGGTACATACGTATCTATGTACGTACAGTTACATTAATATCTGAGTCTAAATCAGAGTTAAAACGATATATAGTAAACAATGGCTATTTACTGCGCTATTGCCTATTGTTTAAAGTATCTACTGTTTAATTATCTTTAACAATAAACATATATTATTAATTAAAAAAATCTCCGCAGTTATCCCATAATTATCCCGTGATTTATATATAACATAATTAATTAAATTTCCGTACTTGTCTATTCTGCCATTTATATATCATACTGGTATTTGCACAGAATACTGTTCAGCTCCCACTCTTGTAATTATGATAAATTGCTCGCTTATAGAACTTAGAATAGGAATAATAATTTAAAGTCTAGATATTAATATTCAGATTAAATAGGTAGTTACAGTATATATTATTATCCAGCAGGTACAGTATGTACAATGGAAATATTGACGAACAAATTTTTTATTATTACTATATTACCGCAGGTTATTATTAAAATCATATGACAAATCAGACTTATTTTAATATGAAAACCTGCAGAAAATAATATAAAATTCTTTCTGTTAGTGTATATATAATACCTACTGCAGTTAGTAGCGTGATCGGGAATTTTGCATAATGCATAATTCATTGTATGTAGAATTTATTGTATAATGCGACTAATCATATATCTGGAGATTATTTAAGGGATTCTTTAATAAAGAAAAACAGAAGTTAGCTTGGCTTTCAAATAAACACGTTTTATTTTATATACTAAGTGGTTGTTGCTGCAATCGTTTGTTATATGTGAGAGAGTTTGAAGGACATTATCAGTAAGGAGAAAATGCATAAGAAAAGAAACAACAAACAAAATAGCCACTGAAATCATGAAAACTTGAATATGATTGGAAGAAAGCAGCAAAACGAAGACTACAGTTATATTACTTATGTAGAAATGTTAGCCATTATGCTCATTCTTGTCCTTTGATAACTCGTTGGGGGTGTTGCCTATCAAATGATTTACAAACATAGTGCACTTGCACTTCTAATACATAGTACGTAGTAAGGATTTTTTTGTCGATCATCACTGATAATAATAAAAACATATAACTTTTAAATTTATATAACTTTTGAAAGAACAGTCACACACTAGTAAAATTATATTTATTAGATTCCTTTTGATGTTCCCTTTAAAGTAATGAGGCCCTTTTGTTAGTTTTCTTAAAATTTGTTGGATTTTTAAACTATTGTTTACTCTAATCTCTATACAATTCGAAAAAAGGCCTTCATTACTTTAAAGAGAACATCAAAAGGAACCTAATAAATATAATTTTACTAGTGTATGACTGTTCTTTCAAAAGTTATATAAATTTAAATTTTATATGTTTTTATGATTATCAGTGATGATCGACAAAAAAATCCTTACTATTGAAATTTACTACGTATTAGAAGTGCAAGTGCGCTATGTTTGTAAATCATTTGATAGGCAACACCCTAATAACTCGTCACACCAACTCTTTGTTAGTATTAACCTGCATTTTCTCATGATCAAGGATTTAAATAATCTCTTCAGCAGTTAGTAGAAACGCTTGATCCATTTTGCCCAAACCCATACTGTGAAGCCTTTTCATTTTACCATCAAGAGTCCTCAATATTTTACTCAAATGGTATGAATCCCATAACTTACATGGCTTGATTTCATTATTCCTTTCAGATAATGAGCTATAGAAGCATAGCAGTTGTGTATACTCTCTGCCTTATAGTCATTTCTGTTTAAGCGTTTCAACTAGGTAAGGAATTTGCAAAGAAAGTCTTCTAATTCCATTGTTATCTCTATTTTTTCAATTCATTTTTCGTAATTAATAGTCTCACGAAATCTGTTGACCAAATGCAACCACTTCGAAGTACATGTGAGATTCGTTGCAATTCTAAAACTTTCTCTTCGGTAGGGGCGATTTTTCAGTTTCTTTTACCTATATTGTAATAAAAACAAAAAAGAGATTGATAAGATTAAAAGCTAATCAATCTAAAACTGATTATTAAAATAAAAGTCTAATTTATTAAAAAAGAAAGTTTAATTACTTACATGGTTGCATGGGTTGTTACCAGTGATGTAAATTGGGTTCGCGCAGTAGGCGCAGCGTATATATCAGTACGCGTATAATTTTTTTTTTTTTTTTGTACATTTTTTTACATTTGCGCGAGTAAAAATTTTTTGAATTTATAACACTGGTTATTACTAAAGATGCTGATGAAATTAAACAATTTCACTAGGTGAAATAGTGAAATAATTTCACCAGAATTACACTAAATAAAAATTTGGTAAAATTGGTGAAATTGGCGAAATGAGAAAATTAGTGAAATTGTAAAATTAGTTCATTTATTTTTAATTGACATGTTAGCAGTACTATCTTCATTTGATGCAAATTCAGCGAATTGACAAAAATTTAGGTCGGAATTATTGGAGCTAGGCCGGCATTAAGTAACAATACTATTTTACTATTTCACCAATTTCACCATTTTATCAACTATTCCAATTATACCAGCATCTCTAGTCATACTGTTACGGGGAGAATTGTATAAGAAATAATCTATTTTTAAAAATATAGACTATATGTAATGTAAGGCAATTCACCAGAAGCGTGATGTTGGTGATTTGGGTAATGATATAATAAGAGAAATTATTATTGTTAGTTGAGCTTATATACCTCTTCCTCGCACATAAGTGTCGTAACTAACCTTTCTCCTTTATATAACGTTAAAGGACTAATGAGGCTTGGACATAACTCACCTTATATATTAATAGAATAGGCAGCTTTGCTTTTCTCTATCTGCTACTCTTTATTCCCTTTGCCTATCCCGTCAATCCCTTTTACTTTTATTCAAGTTTTTTTACATCATAATTCTTCTTGAACCTTCTTCCATTTGCACTAATGTCATTATTGCTAGAACATTTCTTTGACGATCTCTAAGCCTTGTAGATTATACGCGTAATTAACTTTCTTGAACATTATGATCGGCAATAGTGATGAGACTCAAACCCAATAATTTTTTAATTCCGAAACTAGTTTGGGATTTGTCGTAACACAATCACAAAATAATACTATTAATAGGAGTTAAAAAATTAATTATTTGCAGCATTTACATAGTTTTATACAGTATACTATGCTAAATTATGTTATCGTTATTGCTTTAAAGCTTCTAAAGCTTTTTTTACAATATTATCTACACAAAAATGTAAATTTCTACGACACATTACTAACATAATCAGAAACCTTCTCACAACATAATGCAAGATGACTTCCATTACTTTTGGTTTGCCTCTTAACCAACTTTATCCACAATATACGAAAGATACACTATAATGTCCATATTTATTAGCAGCTTAACCCTTCGTAAAATACTCTCATACTGCAGCTTTTGGACATCCACTTTTCTTTCGATATAATACTTGTTGCTTATCCGTAGTATCTCTTGTTGAAGATTCCATAATATCTTCAGAATCCATTTGATGATACAAGAAATATTTTAAATTTTGAAAATTTCTTTATTATTTAAAAAAAAAGATAAAAAAAAAAAGACATCAATTTATTTATCGTTATTATTAATAATAAGTAGTCAAAATATATCATTATAAAAAGTATCATTATATTTATTACAGTAAAAACATCATTATATTTATTAAAACTGTCATTATATTTATTTTGAATCAGCGATCATATCATAGTAAAAATTTTTATCATTGGGATTTAGGAGTATGTTTAGGATTTGGATACGTATTTGGATTTAGGATTAGATTTGGGTTTCAGCAAAAGCCCAAATCCTGACTGAAAACTGCTGTAAGTCCCAATCAGTGTCAAAAGTATTTGGGTCCCATCACTAATCAGCAACTTATGATATAATTGATGGTCTGACTTCAGAAATACCACTTTACCTGTGACAGTACCCATTAAATAATTGAAGTAATAGTAGGACATATTAAATGGATTATAATAAGTTCGAAGACTCATCACATTTAATGAAACAGTAATCTAAGAAATCGAATGTGCTAACGAATCCTAGAAATTCTCTCTGCTTTCTTCATATAACATATGCCTTATCAAAATTCTATTCACCACATAAATTATTAGATCAACTAGTGCACAAAATTTATTGTAAAATACCAGAATTTCCAGTTGATTAAGACATGATTCTAGCGTAGTTTTAAGCAGTCAGAAATTTCCATCCATTTGACAAATTTCATTGGCTATGAATTTCTAAACTCAACTTGAAATAATGTTGATAGAAAAAAAAGCAGGTTACATCACTTCGCAATTTTGTGCACTGAGATCAACTATTAGATAAACCATTAGATCAACTATCAAATTAACCATTATACATATAATACCTATTACATCACTGTTAAATCAGCCGTTAGATCAACCATTAGATCAACTGTTAGATTTTAACTGTTATATCATATAATATTCATTATATCAACCGTTAGATCAACTATTAGATCAATATGTACTCCTTGCATTAATACTTACTCCTTGCATCAATTCGAATAATTTATTGAATAATTCGGTTATCTATCTGTTAATCCATTTTATCTGATTATCCATTTGATATCCAAATATCCATAGATAAATGGATAAATGAATAATGGATTGGAACTCTAAAATGTTCAACAAGTCTATTAGTTTGAGGATGATATGTAGAAGAGAGTTTATACTTTACTCCTAATTGTTCACAGAGAGAATTCAGCATTTTATTTACAAAATGAGTTTCTCTATCAGTTAGTAAGACCTTGGAGCATCCATGTCAACAAATTATATCCTTATAGAAGAATAGTACTACTGAGGCAGCTTTAGTATTAGTTAGGGCTTAGATTTCAGGCTACTTGGTTAAATAGTTAGTAGTGACTACAATATACTTATTGTCTCGTTCAGTTGTAGGTAAAGGTCTAACAATATCTATTCCTATTTGATCAAAGAATTGTTCAACTTTTATAGAGTACAGAGGTTCAGTTTGAGTAAATTTGCTTCTTCATTGGCATTCCTTACAGAATTGTATGTAGATCTTAATATCCTCAAACATTTGGAGCTAATAATATTAAAGAGCTATTCGTCTAAAAGTTTTATCAATTCCAAAGTGTCTAGCAAGAGAGTTCAAATACAAGTTATATAATATTGTTTTTACTTTATTATGTTTTACTACTTTGAAAGGTCGAGTAGATTCCTTTTTATTCTACTTGTAGAGTAGTCTATTTACTACTATAAAATATTGAGCTTTGTTTTTAATTTTCCTTTGTTTATCCTTATCTAAATTATTAAGTAGAGTGTGATTAGTAAGAAATTATACTAATATATAATATGTATTTTTTTTTTTTTACAATTCAGCAGTCATGCCGTGACTTTATTTAGGTTTGTTTTTCATTAAGAAAACTACATTATCAAGTTTTATACTATCTAATGCCTAATTTTTTAA